GGTACACAGACATACATTCAGGCAGACAACTAGGGTTCGATTCCCAGAACCCACAACATGGCTTCCACCCTCTATAACTCCAGGGATCTCATGCCTCCTCCGTGAACATGGTACACAGACATACATTCAGGCAGACACTCATATATACAAAAAAAATTTAAAAAGATGTCAAATCTGAGATTTCACTGCAGACTAAAGACTCAACCTGAGTAAACACAGCAAGAGCTCTGCAACCCCCATACAGCCCTGCCGCCTGGAGGGTCTCGGAGCAAAGGTGCTGAACTATAGACCATGCCTATTTGCTGGTGACATTGGCTAGAGAAGAAGTAATCTTTCTGTGGCCTGTTTGTATTTGTGCTCTCTTTAAAGACAGGGAGGGGTAAAAGAAGAGGAGAAGAGGAGAGAGTGGAGAGGGAGAGAAGGGTTCAGAATGTTTAGGGCAAGAGGCTTTTTTTGTGAACTAAGATCAGCCATGCTCAAGGTAGGAGAATAAGGTCAAAGCCAGGGGTTTCATACAGAAGGCTATTAATTTGACCACAATCTGAGTATATACATTCTGCTACATATCTTTTGTTTGTTTTTTATTTGAGGCAGAGTCCCATGCCATATCCCTGGTTAGCTTTGAACTTAGAGATCTGCCTCCCTGAGTGTCAGAATAAAGGCCTTGATTACCAGGCAGCTGCTGTACTGTTAACATGAACCAACGGCTCTGTGTGGTTACAAAGTTTTATTCTGAAACAATAGGTCCAGAAAGTAACCGATGTAATAAAGCGGCACATCGCAGAAGTTAGTATACGCATGCTGGTAGCTCAGTACATACACGCTGCCTTCTCTAGCTTAGCATCACAGGCTGGAGACTGCTCCACACCGACTGCCTCTTCCTTCACCAAATCACTGCAGAAGGAATTCAGGACACAGAATCCAAGAGAGCAAAGTTTGGAGGCAGCGATAGGCCACTCTGAGGGACTGGGGGATGTTCAAAGATTTACTAAGGAAACTCGAATTCATTGTCATCCTTCAATTTTCTTTTCTTTTTTCTTTTTCTTTCTTTCTTTCTTTCTTTCTTTCTTTTCTTTTTTTTTTTTTTTTTTTTGGTTTTTCAAGACAGGGATTTTCTGTGTAGCCCTGGCTGTCCTGGAACTCACTCTGTAGACCAGGCTGGCCTCAAACTCAGAAATCCACCTGTCTCTGCCTCCCAAGTGCTGGGATTAAAGGCGTGCGCCACTACCGCCCGGCTCAGACCCAGACATGCATTTGTTTTTGTTTTTTTTTTGAAAGATTTATTTATTTTATGTATATGAGTACACTGTTGTTATCTTTAAACACCAGAAGAGGGCATCAGATCACATTATAGATGGTTGTGAGCCACCATGTGGGTGCTGGGAATTGAACTCAGGACCTCTGGAAGAGCAGTCAGTGTTCTTAACTGCTGAACCATCTCTCCAGCTCCATCAATTTTCTTAAGCATCTTTATGTTAAGACGTATTTTCTATAAAACTGCTGAGTATAACTGGATCAAACCCAGGGATTATTCTTCCTATGAGAAATACACCAACAGGTAGCCAGAAAGGACTTATGACCAAACAGATGAGGGATGGTTTCTCTATAAAATACTCAAACTAATAAATGAAAGAGTTCAGGTATGGTGAAGCCTGCCTCTAATCTCAGCACCTGGAAGTAGAGGCAGGAAGATTAGAAACTCAAGGTCTCCCTCAGCTGCACAGGGAGCTAGAGGCAGCCCGGGATAGACACCTGGTCAAAAAAGGAAAAGGAAGAATGGGGGCAGAAAAGAAATGACATTATTATTACTATTTTGCAATCTCAATGGATAGAAAGATCTAGATTTTGACTACCCATAGCTGCTAAAAGAAAAAATAATGGGTTGGAGAGATGGGTCTGTGGTTAAGAGCACTTCCTGCTCTTCTTTCAGAGAGCCCAGGTTCCATTCCCACTGACTACATGCTAGCTTACAACTGTAACTCAAGACCTGGTACTCTCTTGTGGCCTCCACAGGCACTGCACACATGTGGTACACATACATACACGCAGACAGACACTCATACACATAGAAAGAAATGTAAATACACATAACAATAAATAAATGTAAAAAGGAAGAGAAGGAAAAGGAAGAGGAAGAGGAAGAGAACAGGAAATAGTACCACCACCATCAGTGTGGCTACAGGGACCACACCCATGTCTGATCAAACCTCAGAGTCAAACCGCCAACACTCAAAAAACACAAAGACTGAAGGAGCTGAGCAGCAATTAAAGTAAATGGCAATAAAATGCAACCATAGGAAACTTTAATGGTTAAATGGCCTGGAGCCTGTCCCTTGTATGTGGAGAGAAGTGAAACATGCACCATTAGGCTGGGGGGAAATAGTTCAATTACAGAGTTCACACTTGGTCCTAAGTGCAGCCCTTAGCATCACTGTGGCGGGTGGGAGAGGGCTAACATTAAAACAGCAAGATAAAAGTATTCTCGTCTCATGATGAACACTTGATCCAGGTGAGAGAAGCGGGCGAGCTCACTCTCCCATTGCCCACTAAGGTGAAAGAAGGCCAAGGGAAGGAAAGGCACCTTTGTCCTGCTGATGTAGGATCAAAAGGCCAGGAACCAGTAAGTCCCTGAGTTTTGATTGGCCTGAACACTCGTTTTCAAACGCCTCCATTCCAGCTGCGGCATACGGAACTCACCCATCTAACAGGCTGGAAGTGCCTGGTCATTAGGTAGTCCCTCTAGGCCCTGCCTTGCCAAATAACTACCCAGCCGTGTACAATGGCTGACAAGCAGACACCAGAAACACAGCAAGGGAAGCAAGCAGATCAACTGCTGGCCTCGCCTGAGAAGAAAGCCGCCAGTGATGGCAAGCTTCCACTAAGAGGCTGCTGTCCTGAGTGGAGTGAAAACCATTCCTGTCTCAGGGTTCAGGGGAATTTTGATCACCTTTGAGTCCATTGACTTCTGCCTGCCTTGTGGCATAAGCTAGGGTTTCCCTAAGGCTTCCTCGAGGGGAAGGCCAGGCTGGGACATCTGGTCCCAGGTAAGACTTATACTATCCTCACCTTCACAGAGGTTAATGCTGAAGACCGAGTAACTAGACAGCTCTCAGGACTAATTACAGTGACAGTTAATGATGAGCTAGACTGTCCCTGAGGAGGCAATGTCCCAGGTCCAAAATTAATGGCTTGCATTGCCTGTCTGAAAATGCAAAGTCTAAACAAGTCTGCTGCTGAGTTTTCTATACTTTCCCCAAAATGAAAGGAAGCTATTATAAAGATCTATGCTGTATTGGGGCATGGAATACATATAATCTTAGCATTCAGGAAGTGGAGGCAGGAGGCTCATTGAGAAAAAAGGCAAAAATAAAACACACATAAAAAATCCAATCTATTTGTGGCACCCTCCATATATATTTTGTTTTGTAGAAAAGTAGTTTAAACAAAATCCAGACATCACATGTGACAAGCAGAAGTAAGGGCGTGGATAAAAGCTATACACGAGGGCTGGAGAGATGGCTCAGTGGTTAAGAGCACTGACTGCTCTTCCAGAGGTCCTGAGTTCAATTCCCAGCAACCACATGGTGGCTCACAACCATCTGTAATGGGATCCGATGGCCTCTTCTGGTATGTCTCAAGAGAACAACAGTGTACTCATATAAATAAAATAATTAAATCTTAAAAAAAAAAAAGCTATACATGAATTTGTGGCCAAACAAGAAAGAACTTCGTTATAGTAAAATGTAACTGCTTGGGAAATATGGCTGGGCTGCTTCACATCACAACCGGGAGACCCACAAGGGCTCTTGGGAGATGTGATCTCCTTCAAAAATGATGCAAACTCCTGAACTCAGAAAAGCAGAGATGGTTTTTAAAAGCTTACAACTTAAAAAAATGTAGTTTATCACACAGTCTTTCTCCATGTTCTCTACGTGTATGTGTGTGTGTGCGCGTGTGCACGCACACACGCGCGCACACACACACACACACACACACACACATGGAGGTCTGAATATGACTAGAGGAAGTTGGTTCTCTCCTTCCACCATTTGGGTTTGGGATCCAGAGGTCAGACTCAGGTCACCAGGCAGCAAAGGCCTTGGCTCACAGAGCCAGGCCCAGTGTTTTTATTTTTTTTAAGATGTATTCAGTAAAATTTGTGTTTTATTTATAAGATCTAATTTATATTATTAGATATATTTGTATATACTTTGTAATTTTTGCTTTTATAGACTGTATATTTCTGATTTTAAAAAACTAAAATACTAAAAAATAAGATTGATATTAATAAATATTGATATTAATAAATTGTGGGTATGATTATTAAATTTTAGACGGAAGAGTTCTTACCATGTTCATATGTCACTTAAAAGAAAAAACAAAACCTAACAGAGCAGAAGGGTGAGAAGGAATGAGACGGACTCTGGGGGAATGACACGCAACAATGAGCCTGAAGAGAGGGCGGGGAGCAGCTCTTCCTCTGAGCCCAGGGAAGAATAGGAACTGTTCCTGACACAGCTCAGTTAGGTTTTATAGCTTCAGGAGTTACAAATTAATAAATCGCACTGGTAGCTTTAGTGTCACTGTGATGCAGGAGACCCTGTCATCTGTTATGGGGAAGGCGGGTCTACAAACGGAAGCAACTTAATAAATGCTGATTTGAGTTTGACTGTTTCTAAAGTGGAAGTGTGTAAGTGATGCGGGCAGCTCAGGGCAGCCCTCAGCTCTGAGATCACAGAACGCAGAGGACTGGGGACACATAACTTTCTTCAGATTCATCTCAGTCACAAATGGATTCACAAGCTGAGAAGAATCATGTTTGACTTCATCTAAAACCTTCCGGGCTTCTCAAAGGAGTGACTCTTACAGACACACATGACACAAGAGAAATAACCAGACCTGCTGTAGCATCTGTATTTCTGCAGCTCAAAGCAACTGAGAATTTCAAGTCTGACAAGCAAGCTCCCTAAGAAACAACCCTTCTGAGTGTTATTGAGACACAGAGTCCAGTGTGTCTCACGGACATTATTATAGCGAAACTGAAACTTTTCTGAGGTAAAGCTGCAGTGCCCGGAGGCTGTGGTCATAGTTTACGTTGTCCACGACTATTTGGCTTTCTGTGAATTGTATGTTCCCCCACAAATATTATTCTCCCTTTACTTTTTGCTTTAATGGTTTGGTTTGACATAGCAAACCAGAAATATTACAAATTCAGTTTATCTATGATAATGTTAAGCATTAAGAAGACCCATAACAGAGTATGGTTGGGCACACTTTTGATCCCAGCACTCCAGAGGCTGAGGCAGGCGTATCTCTGTGAGTTCAAGACCAGCTTGCTCTATAGAGTAATTTCCAGAACAGCCAGGACTACAAAGAGAAACCCTGTCTTGAAAAACTAAACCATACCATACCAAACCAAACCAAACCAAACCAAACCAAACCAAACCAAACCAAAC